TCTCATTCCCAGCATCAAACAAAAAGTGGGAAAAAAAATACATTGATCAGTCCTGAGGATTGAATCAATGTTTTTTCTCAAGACTGCTTTAATAAGATAAAAATCAATGTAGCTATATTATTTGCCATTATTATCAACAGTAACATTAAAACATGATACTATTTGATTTATAAGTTAAAATGTTAAAGCAGTTCTACTGTGTACTTCAGAGGTAAAAGAAAAACTTAAAAGCAAGTAATTTAATCAATCGTTGGGTTTATTTTTATTTTTAAACTTTGTCCATTTGGTTGCTACATCAGTTTCACCTTTTTGGGGGGCACCAGCGTGTATTGTTTGTGTGCTATTTACCAATAATTATAACTTTGATTATGTGAACTCCCTTAAATGCATAGCCCTGTGTTGCTTCAATGGCAGATTTCTATATGGGAACTTGAAAATATCACTGGGCACCTTATTTTCCCTATGGGAATCTCACAGCGCTTTGACTGTCTAGCTCTTGCTGTACAAATGTGGAGTTTTAAAATTTTTATGCAAAAGCAATGAACCTGTTTGCTAACTTTTTAGACATTTTTTTTCAAAATAAACTCCCTAAAATGCATGAATTTTAAACTAAGTTGATGTAACTCTTGTACCATATTGCTAAGACCCTTCATTTCTGCCTTTACTTTGTTTAAAATTTCCTAAGAATGTGTTCTTTACTACAAAAAAAAAAGATGGAAATCAGTACACAAATTAACTTCATTTATTAGCAAGTGACCTGGTGATCAGTCAGGTGTGAAAGGCATTCACGGAATGCAAGTGTTTTCCCCTCACTCCCTTATAGTCCACGGAATGGGATGAAAAGCATCCAGGAGCGCACGGGTGGTGCCCTATCCTCCTGAAACTCCTCTCTTGATTATCACGGTAAATATTAGGTTTAATATTGGGGTTACCAAGTTGCCATCTCTCTTTCTGGAGCACGGAGCTAGGTTTGGACATGGGGGCATCTCTCGGGTTCCAAAGGGACCCCCTGAACCTGGCTTCCCATTCCAGAAGGAGAGAAGTGATATGTGTCTGGAAAGTTCCAGCACTTACAAAAGTTTGGCAGCTGTCCGCGGTTTTTACCATCCGCCAGGCCCATCAGGCCCAGGTGCGCATCCGGGAAGCCCTAGGGGAGAGGTTCTTTCAAGCATCCCAGTAACTCTCCCCAGGGCCGCCTCCAACAGGGGCCTCTGGCTTGCTGCCCTATCCCTTCCCCACCACAGCCCCTCCCTTGCCCCTTCCCTGACCTCTCAATAAACACACCTGTTTGGTTTCCAACAAAATGAAGTCTGTATTTATCTGACATTAAGAAAAGGTGGGCGGGGGAAGGGGCTCATATCCTGGAGGGAGAGGGGAGTTTGGAGTGGCGTGTGGCGTGGCTAGATGTGTCACCTCAGGTGGGGGGACCTTGTTGGGGTTGGGTGGGTCCAGGGACCACAGGTGGATGAGCAAAAGGAGGGACTGGAGCAGGGTCAGAGATGGTGGGGGCATAGGCATCATGTAGGGAGGGAGTATGGGCATTGCTTGGGGAAGGAGCAGCAGCATGGCAGGGGGAGGGGGAATGGGCATAGCAAGGGGGCAGGTGGGTAGTAGGCAGGAGGAGTGACAGCAGGCGGGTGTGCCATCATTCTCTCATGACAGCATACATGTAATCGCACCGCAGCATGAGCTGGTCCCAGGCATTGTTCCGCCACTCAGCATCTTCACATATCTTCTGTGCCAGGGTCTGCTGCATGTTGTGCAGGGTGCTGACATGCTGGCTCATGAGGCCTTCCTGAATTCTGGCACACCTTCGGCTCACCCCTCAGTCCCAACTGGTCCAGCTGTAGAGAACACAAAGAGGGAGAGGCAGTCAGTCATCCATGCAGACACTGTTTCTGAGGCTGTGCCCTCCTCTGTGAGCAGCGACCAACAGTCCTTGTGCTCAGGGGCTGCCTGCTGAGTCCGTGTGGTGCACACTAATACTGCACATGGTTCCACATGCACAGACTGCAGCACGATGTCCAGCCCAGGCAATCCCTGAAACGCTCACATCCCACCCCATGTGTGAGACAAATTGAGAGCACTCACCTGAAGATCCTTCCTTGGCATCAGACAAGGCCTGGGAGATGTCCTGGTTGACAATCACCAGCTCTAGGGACAGGGTGATGGTGTCCGTCTCCTCCTCCTCCTGCACGGTGACCTCTGGCCGGGTGACGATAGGGGTTTGGAGGATGGAGTCCACCACAACAAGTGGGGAAATGGATTCCCCACCCCACAGGATCTGGTGGAGCTCTTGTAATAGGGACAGGTGTGGGGTCCTTCCCCAGAGTGTGAGCTGTGCTCTCTGGCCCTGAAGTATTCCTGTTCCAGGGTCTGTGGTGGGTGTCTGCGATCCGCCATGGACTCGGCCTTGTGCTCAGATATATCAGAGTTCCACCACTTGGAGCGGAGATCCTGTAATATCTCCTCCTTGCCCCACAGCTGAAGGAGGGACAGGATCTCCACTCCAGATCAGGAGGTTGCCTGCTGCTTGGTCCCCCGGGGTGGGTCCTGGGACCCCTGGGGCTGCTCCCTTGAGGGCCAGAGAGATTTTGGGGGGCTTGAGTCTGGGCCATGGGTGGCAAGGCCTGTGGCAGGGAGGACCGTGTGGTCAGGGTGTTGCTCTCAGGTCGGCTTCCTGCCACAAGGTTTGTCTAGGGTGCCTGCAGCTTTAAGAGCTGGCATGAGACAGAAACTATAGAGTTGTGATTAGTATGGACAGAGCGTCCACCAGGGCACCTGTGCTATTTCCTAGAGGCCTCTTCTTCCAAAAGAAAACCCTCCTCCCTGTCCACACATGCCTTTTTTCAAAAGAGCTCATTCAGAAATAGGCTCCTTACTTGTAGAAAGAGGATTACCAATGCTGGAAAAACTCCTCTGTTCTTTCGATTTACTTTTGAAAGAACATGATTGCAGTGTGGACCTAACTCCGGTTTTGTCAGAAAAATGGCCATTTTTCCGACAAAGCTCTGTAGTGTAGACATACCCTGAGGTATTTCTGTTTTAAGATCTCATGATCTTTAGACAAGTAACATACTTTTAGAGGCATCTGTTCCACAAGTGTGTACCTTACTTGAAGCATACGAGTGGCCCCATTGTTGAATCAATCGGGGCCAGAAAGTCAAAAAAAGAGAATGATCTTTGAGTTTGAGAAGCCAGGAAATAATCAAGGTCCGTCTCATGCCAGCCATCTTTATTTCACTGTTTTTTCATATTTCTTTACTAATAGGTATCAGAATGGAGGTATGATACCTATGAGAAGGTCTCCCATAACTCAGTGCTGTCTACACCTTCAGCTAAGTTGGTATATCTGAGTTGCTTATGGCTATTATACCAACTGAAGTCTGTAGCGTAGTCCAGGGCCCAGAGCAAATTCCCAGGAAGGGAACGTTCACAAGATATGAAAAACAGTAGAATTTGTCAAACACCTCAGATAATTCATCTTGGCAGTAAGGTATCTTTCCTTCATTTTAGTCTTCTAACATGTCATTTCACAGTGACAGAGGCTGCTGTGGGAGAGGAAATGAGAAATACAAGGCTTAAGCTCACAGCATTTTCTTTCAGTAAAAGGTTATTTATTTGCTATTTAGGATGCAACTTGGGTTAAACAACTAGTTTTCTTTTGCTTGGAACAGGGTCTTATTCTTTGTAATACTCAGTGAGGTATGCATTTTGGATTTCTTGGTTTCTTACCTTAAAAAAAACATTATGGTAAATCAGTTGTTAAACCATAAAAAAAAAATCTAGAATTTTCATTGCTGTGAGAGGGAATTATGTCTGTGACTCCGATTAGCACGTAGTGGAGTCAAGTGCTTCCATGCATCTGAGAGAATAAAAGGCAACAAGCATACACTTCTGAAGCATCTTATCTCTTTTGTTATGTAGAACAAATTAATTATGTAGAAAGAATGTGATATTTTTTCCACAAATATTGGCACAATTTCCTTCTTTGCATCCTTGATGTTTCCTCCTAGCTCTGTCTTAAACATCTGAGCACAGAAAATGATTGCCCATTGCTGTGAAATTTTGCTTCTTTTCCTTTTCCTCTTAACTTTGCACTGTCCACTCTTTAGTTCATTAGAACTATTCATGTGCTTAAAGTTAGTAATGTGCTGAATTAGGCACCTAGCACAACTAACAGAAGGGTATTTATTATTGCAAAATATAATTCTAAATCATAAGTCATCGCTAAAAGTAGCTCTTTCAAACAATGACATTAACAGCAAGGAAGTGAGTTAATACGAGAGATATAAGAAACTTAGTTTCAACTATATGTGTCAGACTGTTGAGTTTCATTTGAAATGAGTATTAATTTTCCAATCCACATAGCTTTTTTTTTTGTCATTGTATTTATGATAATTGCATCCCCTGGGTGGTGCTTAAAAACATAACAATGAAGATGTCATTTTCTTAAATTTCATAGGTTTTTCCCTAGAAATCTTTTAAACATTGTAGAACCCCATTGGCTTTGTTTAAAACTTTTTGCATAAGGGAAAGTATATGAAACTTACAAATGTGGCCAAAATGTTGGCTCTGTGATGAGCTGCCAAACTAGGTACATTTTCCCTAATTTTGTTTCTAAAGCATTAACACTGTTCACATGAAAACTTAACAGTTTTATCAGAATATTAATAACTAGACCAGGATTCCTCCAGAATGGGGAAAAAAACAACCTAGATTTTGATGTGAGTGCTAGGGCAGAAGAATACTGAACAGCATTTGATTCAGATTAGAGGTGGGACCAACCAAAAGCCCAGATCCAAATGCCAATTTAGATCTGGATCCTTGACTGGTCCCTTAGTGTAGGAGAGGTTAAATTGAAGTCTCAGCTCCAAATACTTCTGAACTTCAGGATAATTTGGGTCATTCCAGTCTCTAATTCAGATTATTATAAAACATAACTGGCTTCCCTGTCCATGGTTGCTACTGACTAAAGAAGACTTCTTTCTGTATTGCAGGGGAAGCACCAACTGCATGTAAATACAGGACTGGAAAGCAAGTGGTGTGGCCTCATTCCAGTTGGGAACCCTTGTGACAATGTTACTACAACAGGCCTAAAATGGAACCTAAGTAAGTAAGATGTCTCACTGTTAACACCATTTCAAATTGGGGGGTAGCTTCATTGGAGTTATTTCAGATGTACACCCATGTAACACACGTTTAAAATCTTGCCTTATATGTTTAAGGGGGAAGGAAAGAGTAGACTTTCCTGAAGCAGATTTTTCCAGCAATGAAAAAGTAAAGAAGGGGGGGAAATGCATGAATTACATTACAATCTAACACATCACACTCTGAAATATGTTTTGCTTTTGGGAATCATAATACTGTTTAAATGGAATGTTTGTTGAGGTCATGATGCATTACCTTCTTGATACATGAGTCTTCAGGGAGGTAAGGCTGCAAATGCTGAAACTCCTGCCTATAAGCCATAAAGTTATGAGAGATAAATAATAATGTGATACAGATTATTAAAGCGACTTCACTTTCTGAGAACTGCTTGGCATACATGGTATATTTTCAACCCTGGATGCATATTTGTTTTCTCTTTTGTATTTAAAATGGAGCAACAGAAATAGACCTAAAAATAGTAAGGGAATATTTTCATTTGAATCGTGCTGGGTATATTTACCTAAGAAGGTTAAGTCAACCTTTTTTGGTTTGTTTTGATGGAGATGTATTCAAATTAAAAAAGGAAAGAAATAAAGCAGCAGTTTACAAGCACTGGAAGGTTTCCTAAAGGCTATTGGCTATTATCTTGGAGACTTTTTGTTTTAATTTCAGAAGGTGGAAAAAGCTAGTGGGGAAGAGGCAGTTTTAGATTTGATTTTGACAGATAGGGAGGAACTGGATGAGAATTTTGAGAGTGGAAAGCAGCTTAGGAGAAAGTGATCATGAAATGGTAGAGTTCATGATTATCAGGAATTGTAGGAGGGAAAATAGCATAATAAAGATAATGGATTTCAAGAGGTCAGACTTTAGCACACACAGGGAGGTAAGATCACATTGAAAGCAAGTCTAAGACAGAAAACGGTTGAACAGAATTGGCAGGGGGTTTTTTGGGGTGGGGAGGGGGGAAGGCATCATTAAGGGCACAGGAGCAAATAATGATACTGCATAGGAGAGATAGGAAGCATGGAAGAGACCAGGAGTTCTTCAATGATCTGAAACTCAAGAGTCCTACAAAAAGTGGAAACTAGGTCAAATTACAAAGGATGACTAGACAAATAACATCAATAAAAGGGTAACAAGAAAACATTCTACAAATAAATTAGAAGCAAGAGAAAGACCAAGGACAAAGTAGGCCTGTTATTTGATGGGGGGAGAATAATAGAATATGTGGAAACTGCAGAAGTGCTAAGTGACTTTTTTTCCAGTTTACATCAAAAAGTTTGATAGCGATTGGATGCCTAAAATAGCGAATACCATCAAAAACAAGGTAGGATCAGAGGCACTAATGGAAAGAACAAGTAAAAATTACTTAGACAAGTTAGATGTCTTCAAATCACCAAGGCCTGATGAATTAGAATTCTCAAGGGTGTATCAAATGGTGTCCTCCAAGGATCAGTTCTGGGTCCAGTTCTGTTCTATATCTTCAGTGATTTAGATAATGGCATAGGATGCTGGGAGGCAATTGCAGGCGTTTTGGCTTAAAATTCAAAGTGATCCAGACAAACTGGAGAAATGATCTGAAGTACATAGGATGAAATTTAGTATGGACAAATGCAGAGCTTTCCACTTAGGAACAAAACAGAAAATGACTGTCTTGGAAGGAGTACTGCAGGAAGGGATTTAGGGGTCATAGTGGATCACAAGCTAAATATGAGTGAACAATGTAACACCTTTATAAAAAAAAAACCCCACATCATTCTGGGGGTATGTCTAAACTACATCCCTTGTCAAAAGAGGGATGTAAATTAGGAAAATTGAAAGTGCAAATGCAGCGAGGATTTAAATATCCTGTGCTTCATCTGCATAATGACATCCGAGCACTTTTTCGAAAAAGGGTTTTTCGAAAGTGAATGTGCCATCTAGACGTGGTTCTTTAAAAAAACAACAACCCTTTTTGAAAGATCCCATACTCCGTAATTATTCTGCTGGTAGTCCATGTTAATAAGGCTTCATCTGAAGCACTGTGTCCAGTTCTGGGTGCCACATTTCAGGGAAGATTTAGACAAATTGGAGAAAGTCCAGAGAAGAGTAAGCAAACAGATTAAAGATCTAGAAAACATGACCTATGGGGGAAGTTTGAAAAAAATGAGTATATGTAATCAGGAGAAGAGAAGAATAAGAGGGGACATCATAGTTTTTAAATACATATGAGATTTTTGAAAGGAGAAAAATTGTTCTCTTTAACCTCTGAGGCTAGGACAAGAAGCAATGGACTTAAATTACAGCAAAGGCAGTTTAGATTGGACATAAAGAAAAAATTACTACCTGTCAGGGTGGTTTGGCCACTGGAATAAACTCTTCAGGGAGGTTGTAGAATCTCCATCTTTGGAGATTTTTAAAAGCAGTTTAGAATGGACTGGATAATGTCTTGAGGTCCTGTCATCTATGTCTAGACAGTGTCTTTAAATGCACCTGTTACTTTGAAATATATTATGAAATAATGGGTGCTCTATTCCGGGATCTATGTAACCCTCATTCCATGAGGGTTAAGGGATGTTTCAGAAGAGCACTGTATTTTGAAATTTGGTGCTGTGTAGATAGCTCCAAATTTTCAAAAAACACTATTTAGAAATAAGCTACGCAATTTGTGCTACACAAATTATGTAATTCATTTCTAGGTAAGGGTGCTGAGTAGATGCAGCATTCCAATCCTGTGATTCTAAACTGCATCCTAACCCTGCAGTTAGATCTACGTAGGCAGATCCTTGTGCCCACCCACATAGATGGCCCCCACGTGAATACCTTTTTCTATCTTAATGATGAATCTGAGGTCTAACCGCTGTGCTGGGGCCTACTATGCCTCTGTTGCCTGCCTATGTAGCTGTCTGCTTTTATCTTTTACTAGGGGCTTAACTTTTGGCAAAACATAGTGTTACATGGTCTCTTGCACTTTCAGGATCTGGAAAACTTCAGATTGCACTGCGGATTTGATGTGTACAGTTGAAATCCCCTGTTAGCAATTGATCACTAGTACAGTAATTCCTCATTTAACACAATAGAGAGTGTTCGTGCTAAGCGACAACGTACTACGCGGGGTCAATTTTCCCATTAAAAATAATGGAAAAGGTGGGGGTTGCATTTCAGGTGGTAGTGGCGGCAAAGTCAATTTTTTGTTGGTGCTGGATCGTCAACATTAGATATCTAGCAACACAAGTCGCTGTGGTTTGTTAAAACACAAAGATAAACGCGTGAGTGAGCGGAGGAGCGCTGTGACCACGTGTATGCATCCGCTCATGCATATTACCACTGTTTTCACCAACTTGTACTGTCGTGCGAAGTAGTTCATCACTTGATTATTTTTGTGTTATTTCGGGGACGGTCGTGTTATTCGAAAAATGTTCCCTAAAAAAAAAGGTGCTACTGCGAAAATGTGTTAAGCGGGCACGTGTTAAACAAGTAATTACTGTAGTTGGGTTCTGAATTCGGCTTTAAATTAAGAATTGAAGGAAGTTTCCAGATACAGGAGATTGACGTGAAGAGCTGGCTGACTGGCACAGTTCTGATCTAACTCTTTTCAACTGATCTGTAAGGACTGGCTGTACCATATAAAATGAGCACTGATGTCTTAATTTGAAAGACATTGAACATATGTGTTCACAATGATAAGGGTAAGAGGAGAACAAGCCTTCTAAATTCTCCTCACTCATCTGCTTTTGGCTGTACAATGAATTTTCTGTATACAGGCAGTCCCCGGGTTACGTACAAGATAGGGACTGTAGCTTTGTTCTTAAGTTGAATTTGTATGTAAGTCGGAACTGGTACATATTGTAGGGGAAACTCTAGCCAAACATTTCTCCAGAGCTCAGTTTTCTTCTCCCCACACCTCCCTTCCCTCAGTCCTTTATTCTCAAGCTGAGGTGTCTACTGAGAAAAGCCGCTCCACGTCTCCCTGGTCTGCTGGGTGGGGCGCTAGCTTCGCGTCTCCCTGGTCTGCTAGGGGGAAAAGCAGCTAGTGCGGGGTTGCCTCACCCCGTTTGTAAGTAGGGATCCGATGTAAGTTGGATCCATGTAACCCGGGGACTGCCTGTACTTGGGGCATTAAAAGTCGATGAAATCGGTAACCGTGTAACCACTGAGATTTCTAAAGGCAATTCTAAACTTGGCTTAGTGCCCCAGAGGTCTGTGGAATCAGATAGTCAGAGAATCCAGTGGGAATGTCCATCTTAATAATGTTCCTTCCCATGGGAAGAACCTGCCATGTCTGTCAATGAAGCTATTGCCATACTGACATTTAAATAGGGAGAGGAAAGGATAGATGAACATTTATTTCCCTTGATTTAAATATACCCTGACCAAATGGAAATAAATATTGTTTGGCAATGGACAAGAGTTACTCTAAATATTTACTAGAGTGACTTCCCATGTCACAGCCAAGGATAGTGCACAGAGGGCATTCTCGAATAACAAGAAAGTGCAGAGGTATAGCATAGGACCCTGCATGATCCCTATTACATCCTGAAATGAGTAGGAATGACATAAGCACCCCACAGAGGATTAATTGGATCATTTTTGTTAGAGAGCACTGTGTGCAGTCATTATTACATGATCAATAGATAGCATTCCATATACCCTCAAAATGTGTTTGCTTGAAAACATAAGACTGGGGTTTTAAAAGGAGTCTAAGGGACTTATGAGCCCAAGGTCCATGAATTTGGGGCACCAAACTTGTGTAGGCTAGGATTTTAAAAAGGAGCCTAAACTCTCAAAATGTGGGAGAGAGAGGGACTGTCTAGTTTGGGTTTAGGGGGGCTGTGACATGTGATCTACATCCAATTCACAAATGTTGAGAGACTTTGTAGGCTTTTGACAGCAATAGACAGGGATAAATTCCTGTGACAGAGACTGTGCTGGAGATGCCACCAAGCTTCTCATATCTATGACGTAATAAATAAAACTGAAAT